TTAGTCAATAACAAATAAACTACAAAAGGAGTTTACTTGTTGTGATGATAATATGAACAAAGATCTATCAAGGCACAGGGATAGAACAGTTTAGCATTATTTTCTACTGGCATCTCGTTGAGATAGGGTGTATATGCCTTCATATATAGGCAACTTTCTATTTTCAAAATCAGTTATAAAAAATATCTTATTCGGAGCCTAAACATCGAACTCGCATCAAAAAATTCTTTGTGTCACACTATTTTGTTGACGACTTGCTTTGCTCCTTTAAACAACTTGCTTCACAAATCATGCAATTATTTCATGCTTGTCTTGCTGATTTTTGGTTGGTTCTTCAACATGATATGTCGTGGGATTGGCTAATGAAATGCAACAGTCAAGAGAGGGAGTAACTGTCTTTTAGAATAGCCTGAAACCATAATGATAGTTGTGCAGCTCGTGCTATATCGAATTGGAGTACTAAGGTATTAGCTCTTTTTCCATCTTCTGTTTCCTCGTTTTTGAGTAAAAAGCTTATTGTTTGCATGCAGGCACTTTAGTCGTAAACCTAACATCATGGGCCCGTCACTTAAAGCATCATCTAAAGGTTTTTCCCGCTAAAAGGTTTGGAGCTACTTTTAGTAGTGTTCGATTCAGATTTGTTTGGGCTACAAAATGGCATATCACAATAAATGTTACTGCCTTCACAGATTCGGTCTACCCATGAAAAAAAGTTAATAAAAAAGAACGGTTAAAAACGTGTTTGTGGAAAAATGGAAAGCTTCCTGAACGAGAGAGAATTACAGTCCATTGTAACACCTTTTGAAGTGACACTCTTTCTCAGTGAATTCTATCGTACTTTTTACAAATGATTAATTTAAATTTGTTTTTTTTTCAAAATATAAACAATATGTATGTCAGAGACGGTTCGCACGGGTATGAAGCATAACTCAAGGTGTCTGTAACGTGGTCAAAAATTAACGAGCAGAAAAAAATAAACAAGATGGACTGACTATTTTTAAGAAGTTTAAAGTATGAGTTAATGTCAAAATGATTCATAATACTCAAATTTTTCAGATGGAAAAGACTTAGTTTTTTCCAATAAAACAGCTACCACGCAGCCAAATTGTATTATGCTAGAAAAATCATCGGGCAGTTTGTAGAGCAATAAAGTCTCTACAAAATGAGCTATTTTACGTTGAAATGGGATCCACGGAGTGAGTTCAAAAATGAGCTGTAATAAGTGCCACCAGAATTACTATCATTCCTCAATTGGTGGATATTGGTTAATGTTGAACAATTATACATGGAATAACAGCGATTTCGATCAGAAGATGAGCATATTCATAGGGACCACAAGAAATCAATTGGTATGAGCAACTACTTATGAATCATAAACATTGTGTAACTAATTAGTAGGTACGCTTATACCAAGAAGTCAACGAAGGTGTCTATTTCCAAATCTTTTTTCTTCAAAATATGCTCATTAACAAAAGGTAACTCTCCTTTATATTCAGAGAGCCTGAGGACGTAAATCTAACCATTTTTCTGCTTAGACAGAATCTGCAATCTAAGAAGAAAAATATTCGCGGTCAATCGAATATACTGACCACATACAAAAATCAGGAATATGTTTGGTAATTTTTATTTTGGTACTTGATCAAACAAGTACAAAATTTACAGAAATGAAGTATTAGAATTTCAATATCACAAATTAAGCTTTTGTACTAACTTTTCACCGCTTTTTAAAAAATTTTCTTAATTTATTGAAAGAAAAGTCGCCACCGTGGACCCTTTTCCTGAACTTCAGAAAAAGTGTCCTTAGCATCATGAATTTTACACACTTCTACTTTTCTTATTTTTTGCCTAGCTTACATTTTTCCTTGACTTTGATCATGGATATTTTCTAAGCAGCTATATATGGAATATGGTTGTGATTGTAATGGTGCAGCAACATCAACCATTTGTTGGGCTCGTTTAATCTCATTTTCTGATGCATCTGGTTTTGACCAAAAATCCGTTAATGGATATATATAGGAAAAAATATAGAATGAAAAAATAAAATAATGGTCTTGTAGCCACTACTTTGAACAACATCAAATTGTTTTGCGCTTAGTGGTCAAATATGTTGGTGGAAAATAACATGTAAATGTTGCATTAAGGTTCAAAACGCGTACTATACGTGAATAAACTCGGGAAATAAACTCAAGCAATTTATGTAGTCTTGGTGAATATCAATGTGACCACAATCTGTTTTGACATTTATACTCGTTTCGTCTATATTTCTGTTAGTTAGATTATAAATTGGAAGGTATATCAAATAAAAATAATTGAAGTTTGAAAAAACATGAGAACCGCTCTATCGATCGCATCAGTTGTGAAGATCGTTTGAGAGAGATGTTGTAACTTAAATTTCCGAATAGATTATCAATTTGTGTATTGTAAATGGAACAAATACCGTCAGACTCAGTTGTTTTCTCTTGGAAGCAATAGAAGTAACTTATTGTAGTTTAATTAGATGCATCCTTCAACAGTTGATAGTCCATTTGGACACTCTCGAAATCTTTGTTTTAACTCTCACTTGCATATAACTCCTTCGACAAAAATGTCAGACTATAGGCCAAGTACTTTGTTAGTCGTTACGCGTAAGATTTTTCAAAAGTTTTACACTTGTAACTATTCGACTATCTGTTTTCGAATCGTCTTCTGAATAGTATTCAGTTTAGGTTTCTACTCTGTTCATTCACCATTGACTGTCTTATTTATCTTATCACTATTTATATCATATCACCGGTGAAAAACTATTTTCAGTTGATCTCGGTTGTGAATTTCAGATAGTGACTCCTTTACCCCATTCGACTTCACAAGTAACAGACCTAATGCTTTTTTCTATACCTAACGTTGCTGAATAAAAGAAAAATGTATCGTTTGCTCATTTAGATCTATGACAGTATGTGTAAATAGCTTTGTGTTTATATTGATCAAAATGAAAGTAAAAGAAAACACGATTGTTCAAAAGCATTTACTGTTTCAGACAAATGATTTGTTTCATGTAAAATGTCCTTGAGAGAATTACATAAACTCATCAGAAATGAGTGAGACTGGCTTTAAGAACTAGAAAATTGTCATGCAAATGAAATTATTTTCGAGTTGTTGGGTTCTTACGTTGTAGTGTGACAACTGTGTTACATTTATTTCTGTTTTCTGATACAGGTTTGACCGATTTACAACTAAACTGAATGTTTATTAATTAGTATAACCTCATTTTGACATTTGATTTTAGGAGGATGCAACGTTGCGATTGCGCGTGTAATAAGGCAAAGAGCGATAAAGATTTACACTAGTAAATTCTTTTATCGTGTTTCGCCATTGATATGAGTCAAAATTTCTTCGTTTTTTACATTTTTCACTATTGAAATATGGAATATTTTATACAAACTAATTCACAAAAATGAATATATGTCAAAATATTCTCTAAATAGTTCGATTATCCCATGTACTTTGAATTTTGATAAGATAAAGTTTTCATGTCATCATTCTCTATTGTTGTTGTTTTTTATTTCATATATGTTTTTCTTTCAATTACAGACACATAGAATTATCAAATAATTTTATTGGAATTATTTATCAAAGAAACAATCAGATAAGTTTAATACCACTTAAATAGTAATCATTTTAAATCATGTTATTCCAGTTTTAGAAGTCCTTACCAAACAAAAGGAGTAAAACATGATAATGATAATTCAACTCGTATTATCTTTATCCTATATTAATATCTTTCACCTTTCTCTACAACTTTTTCATACAAAAGCAAAGGATTTGATGATAAGCTTTTGCGAAGAATGTTATAATCACTTTTCCTCGATATCCGATTTGGTAAGGACTATTGTAAGATTCTTAACTTTCTTTTCAAATATAATATATATAATAAGCAACAGATAAGAGTAACGATGAGGCCAGCTCATTTCAGTGAAAGTGTTAAATATAACAAAACCATATTCACGAGAGATATCACAAAAACCACCATAACAGAATATTGGAGTTTCAATATAGTTTTGTAGGAAAAAAATTGTTTGTGATTTATTGTCTAATGTTGGGTAAAGTACATGGCTGTCTTGAGCTGATGATGAATTATGATTAAGATTAACAAAACTTGTAGCTTTGACTGGTTGAGATTTTTCATAATGATTGCTGTCATTAAAGAATGTACTAGTATTCGTCAGTCCGGTAGTCGAATGGGGTAAAGGAGTCACTATCTGAAATTCACAACCGAGATCAACTGAAAATAGTTTTTCACCGGTGATATGATATAAATAGTGATAAGATAAATAAGACAGTCANGCAAAAGTACTTTTCATAATGGTTGTGAATTAAAGTGTTGCTGTAGTTGAGGATAAATATTTGAATGTGGATGTTGCGATCGTGAATGATGAACACCTGATGATGATGATAAATGTTCATCTGTTGGTTGTTTTTTCTTAATACAAAATACAAATATTAGGATCAGCAACACTGTCAAAGCTAATGATACGCCCAAAACAATACCACCACCAATCAGAGCCGTGGAACTTTGTTTTATAATACCATATATGAGTCCAGCTAATCCACCACACAAAGCAATGACTATTACTAATCCACCAAAATTAAAACAAGTTTGAACAGGTGACGCACTAGACTGGTGTAGGTTTGGGCGTTTTCCAAAGAATAACATTGTAAGCAAGTTATGTACTCTAAACAGAAACCGATCAGCAAATGTACTGCTAACTTATCAATATAAGGTAAAAAAACTTGACTGTCTTTAAGTTTTAGACTACAGTCTATTTAAAGTTGTTTTTATAATCATTAAAACTTCTCTTATGCGATTTCAACACGCAAAACAAATCCTATTACTTCTATCTTTTAATTGCTTGTAGCTGTTTTAAAGTACTCAATTTTTTCTGAGAAAATTTGCGAATCTCTAAATATTTTCTTTGCATTATTTCTTCGATGACCCGTATTGATGCAAAAGTTTTTGCCTTCGATCAGGAGTAATAAAAGTGCAATTGAAGTACAAAATAGAGTCATGAAAGAGATGTCTTTACCTAAGAACTATTTAAAAAAATGATCAAAGACACACAATTTACATTTGGGCTTACAAGCAGAAATTTTAGTTTACTTAAACGCTTTTCCAGTATGCAAAATGAATCTTATAGATCAAAATACTGCTCTATCATGTTATATTCTTTGATGGAGAAAAAATTTGAAAAAACTTACAATTTGTTTTTAAGTTCTAGACATTATACAAAAATACCAATTTCTTTATGATTAACTATACGTAGTTATCTTCAAAATAGTGAAAAAGAGTCGTTGAAATTTCCTTTCTTTTTTAAAATAAATTTGTTTAAAAATGAGCATCATTGACGTATTTTTGTGTCGCAATGTAGTATTTATTTCTTTTCCTATAATAATAATTTAAAATTTTTTTAATAAAAATAGTACACGTCTTATTTTCTGATTATAAAATTTTATTTTTCTATTATTTTCTATTATGTTTTTTCTGAAATATCATCACTAAGATTTCTTTCTTCTCTTTTCCAAAACATTATAATATTAAAAATATAGAAAATGAAGCTTGTTAAAATAAATCTAATAAATATATAAATTCTGATGGTAAAAATTTCTTTTTAAAACTAAAATAAATTTTCTTCTTTTTTGTGACACACAATGCTATTAATATGGTCTGATAGTCTACTCGGACTTTCCATCGACATGTAAATAAAAAGAAAAATTAAATTAATGTTTTCTCAAATGTTTATTTCTCATCAGATAAACAAACAATGGACAAATAATCGTCTATAATCAGTTAACATTCAAGAGTTATTATGAAGCGTTGAACTAGATTAAGTATTAATATTCGATTTCTTGATAGAAAACGTGCCAGAAGTCCGTTGTGAATTATTATCACCTCGACTGATTCACGTGTTTTGAATGAAAAGATACTGCAGATGTTTATTCTTATCAGGTTGCCATTGTGCTTGCTATCAAAGTTCATTATTCTTGTAAAACAGCTAAATATAAGATGTACAAAATTGTCATGGCTTCTTCTTAAGGATACCTCCCACCCCTCTTTTTTGCAAAAAGTTTTCATTTTGAGCTGAACACAGCCCAATGTAGAAGAAAGTCTGAGCTATAAAATGAGACCACTTCCAACTCTCCATGACCTTCTTTGAAAGAGTTATGAAGTTTTTAATGTTTTCTTTCAAAGTTTAGAAAATCTCAATTTTTTAGTTTCGCAAATCTTTTTCTCCTTTTCCTATATATTCAGAATTTTTTCTGATTCATGGACTGATAGAAGAAAGTCTGTTCTTCAAAATGCGGCGCCTTGCAGAATTTTCCGATGAGTTTTCGTGAAGATATAAGCATCACCGCAAAGGCCCTAAAAAACAGAGCCCTATGTACCATATGTGTTTTTCTCACTATGCGTTGTTTTGATAGTCCCTTCAATCCAGTCACATTACGACCCCTCGAAAAAATGGTCCGATCGAGCTTAAATTTTTACCACAGATACTTCAGACCCTATCTCAGGCGTAAATTTTTTTTAACGTTTTCGATTTTAACTTTCGGTGTAAGAAGTTTTTTAAAATCAAAAACCGGTTTTCTATACAGGATTTTTACTATTTTTCTAATATCTACAATACGAGAAGGAAAGCATGTTTTTCGAAAAGAAAAATATTACTCCTGAGATAAGGTCTAAAGTATATATGGTAAAAATTTGAGCTCGATCGTATCATTTTCGAGGGGTCGTAATGTGACTGGATGAAAACTGGAGTTTTTCAGAAAACGCATAGAAGAACCCGTCAGAAAATTCTGGGCAAAAATACTTCGATTTTCTTTTTCGATGTTCTATCTCTGCTATAAATTACCCTTAACGTCTGAGTCATATACGTTTAATAATACTTCAGACAGATCGTAAAACAGATCATAGTGAGGAAATGGCGCTTGTACAGATTTCTTCGTTTACAATAAAGTTAATATCTGTTAAGAAAACTACTATAACAGAAATAATTTTGTCCCTCGATTATATTACTATGAATATCTTGCGAAATTTTGCTGCTGTTATTGTTTTGTCAAGACATTTTCAATCATTTTTCACATGTCTTCCACAGAGTGACAATTCCTCAAAGTCAAAAACATTGAAAAACAGAGAAACAGATAAAATCAATAAACTATCGCTGGATACATTCTAACTTACTATGAATAAACAACAATTCAAAAGAACTCGTATACGTGGTTATCTTCAAAATAGTGAAAAAAAGGCGTTGAAATTTCCTTTCTTTTTTAAAATAAATTTGTTTAAAAATGAGCATCATTGACGTATTTTTGTGTCGCAATGTAGTATTTATTTCTTTTCCTATAATAATAATTTAAAGTTTTTTAAATAAAAATAGTAAAGAGAGAGGTCGAGCATTTGCGAAACCTCTTGTATTTTCAGATAGTGTTGGCTTTGTTTATTTACTTGTTTATTTTACTTATTTTTTCTCGTTTATTCTTCTTCAATTCTTCTCATCTCGTTATCATGTACAAACGTCACAAAACACAAAACTCTCCCAAATCGGGTGAATCACAACCACAGACCCTCTGTTCTTGTTGTCAAAAATAATGACTACGAGAAAAATGAAACTTTCAACTAAATACAGTAAAACCTCACTTAAGTGTGCACCCTTGGGACTTTTGAAAAGTGTTCAGTTTGGTGAGGTGTTCACCTATGGGAGATGTCATATATTTTACTACAAAATAAAGTGAAGTTTCAGGAAATGAGCTTCCTTACTAGTTCTGAAGTATTTAGAGACCGTTTCTCTTGTGTTTATCTTCTTTCGCTTATATTACAAATTATTATAAAGAGAGAGGTCGAGCATTTGCGAAACCTCTTGTATTTTCAGATAGTGTTGGCTTTGTTTATTTACTTGTTTATTTTACTTATTTTTTCTCGTTTATTCTTCTTCAATTCTTCTCATCTCGTTAT